CCCAGTCTAGCAATTTATTTATTGCTGGATGCTGTAATGTTATGAAAAGAGGTTAGTGGAGAAGAAGGCTTAAACCTTGTCAGGGGAGAAATCAAAGGATCTTTTCTGTAGGAAAAGCAGCTGTTGTTACTAATTGTGCTCAGTTACACAACATGATCCTAGCACAGACAGTTTCACATTCATATTTCATGGAAAGAAAATAAACATGAGAAAGAGAAAAATGAAGAAAACATAAAACCAAAGAGTTTAGAGGGGAGAAGAGGGAATTTTTTTACTGTGTTAGTTTTTGTGAGAGCATTTTTTTTTGTATGTATAATAATTATCACAACTACATTGTATGCATTTATTTTTAAGGGATCAATTAATTTAAAAGTTTTAATTTATTGCATTGCTCCAAGGACTTCCTGCGTCAGTGTATGTACATGCACGCAATTGCTAGCTTTTAAAATCCAGGTCTTATCTAGATGCCCTGGATTTTTACACATTTGTAAAAGTATTTTCTTACGTGTGACTTCTTTTTAATACTGTAATCCTTGCATTTTTCTAGAAGAGTATTTAAATTTTATTTTCAGCATAAGTAGACCTGTCTGACCTCAGCAAGCACAGAGTGCTACTGCATCAATGCATAGATGCATTTTATCCTGTCTCTACAGCAGCGCTTCCTCTTGGCTGTGCAATGCTTTTGAGGGATGGTTCCAGATTATATTCCATATTTTTTACTTATTTCTAGCCCCATGAATCTAAAAAATCTGCATTTCCCTTGCCTTCTGTCCAGGGTTTTCCCTTAGCTTGGCTTTTCCCTGGACAAACCGGTTGATTCCAGGACTGGTTCAATATGCTGTTGCCTGTGGCAAAAGTTACCCTGGAAAGGAGAAACAACAGGCTAAGCTAAGTCTCTTGGCTCACTACTCTTAATGGGTGATCAGGAGTAAGCTCAGCTTGCTCTAAGGGAGAAATAAATGGTAAAGTAGTGCTGCAGCATCTTGTGGGACCCAGGTAGGTGGGCGTGAGCGTGCCCAACCTGAGGACGTGAATATTTGGGAGGATGCTCCCTGCCTGGCATGCCAGAGATATGGCATGTGGAGGGCACTCCCTGAGCACCACTGCTGGTGAAGTTCAGAGGTGATACCACACCTGGGTTGGTTTCAGAGGGTTGCTCTCCTGTGCAGTGTTGTGCTTTCCCTCTGTCACTGTTTGTTTGTTCACATGCCCTGAAGGAGTTTATGAAGCTGTGGCTAGGATTGATCTTTGAGACAAAGTGATCTTTTTAATTTACATAGGGGTTTTTTTTGTCTCCTTAAATCCACTAAAACTTCTTGCTTTTGCTCTCAAATCTCAAATCTATTAGGGGAACACTTGTGTTATCTTGCATATACATACATACTCCTATTTGGTCAACATCAAAAGATATCGCATAGCTTGCAAACATATTTGCAACATAGAAGCAGAAAGTCTCAAAGATTCCGCTCCAGAAGTGGTTGCAGCTTTGCTGGGGTTTCAACTGTTTTCACACAGTATAGGAAATCCTTACCAAACACCTTATGGGCAAAGGTCCATCTCGTCTGTTGGGAGACTGGCCAGAAAGGTGCTTCTGTTTCAGCAATATTGTACCCTAGCAAATGGTCTTCTAAAAACTGAGGTCTTCTAAAAATTGAGGTCTGATGCTTTTGACAACGTCTTCCCCTATTTGTTAATGGAAATTAGAGTCAATGAAGTTGTGATATAATATTTGCAAGGTAGGAAAACCCACCTCATTCAAGTGTGTCTGTCTTTTTGGATAGAGTCAGAATTTTGACATGGATAAATATAGCACAGTTTTGGCATTAATTTGAAGCTTTATCTGAATTACTTGATCTTTCTGAGTCTATAAAAATTAAGCTGGAAACCTTGAGAGCCATTTGTAACCTTGGTGCTTCAAAGATTTGCTGTAAATACAATGAGAACTGTGTTCTGCTGTGGTGTTCCAACACTTCTCTTTTCATTTTTTTCAGGGAAGGTGACAAGCAAAAAAGAATTGGATAAATGTTTAAAAGTGTTTTGAAATATATAGAACAGGCTTGGTTCTTTGCATGATAAAAACCTGGTTTGGATTCAGTGTGAGAATGGCTAAACTTCTGCCCCCAAAAATCCCATTTTTCATACATGTATCACATGGGGGATCTTACTCACAAACATCAATTTGCAAAAGTTAATTAAGATTTCAGTGAAATAATACCATCACAAGGCCTCCTGCTATCATGTCTTTGCAAAGGTTATAGCATTAATGAGGTATGAAAGCAGATCAACTACTAATCCGTGGTGTATGCTGAATTGCCCCCTTAAAGTAACAAGCCGAAATAATCAAGCACATCATTTAGTTAAGAACAGGAATATGCAATTCCAAAACTAATTCAGAAATGTATTCTGACCAATTCAGAAGCCAAAGACATCTTGCACAGAATTAATCTTGGGCAAACTTAAAACTCTATAAGAAAAACGCATAATATAAATACTTTCTTTTCCTTACTCTTCCTAATCAGGAACAGAAAAGCGCATGGTTGTTTTTCATAGGGACAAGCAGTTTAGGATCTTGGCCAGTAAAAGCAGAGCAGGACTGCAGTTGTTTGTGGAGGAAAAATGACAGTTCAAAAGGGAATGTAGATTGTAGGCATTGGTTTCTGAAGAACACAGGCAGCTGATGAATTTCGTACAGAAATGTGCGCTTGAGAAACAAGAATCTCTTTGAAGTTCTTTTTTATTGCTCCAATTTGAGAAACTGGGGTAGCTCAGACTGCATCACTCACCGATACCTTCATGTATGACTCAGACAATACAACTTTAAGACACTTTTACAGATTAGGCACTTTTTTTTTTAAACTCAGAAAATGTGTTTCACTACTAAATGACTGGTAAATTCACACAGTTTAAAAATATGTGCTGAGTTCAGTTTTTCAATTTAGATTTGTGGTTCATCTTTCTTTTTGGAGCACTTGAGCATCACTGCGGCTATAGCACTGTGTCTTGTGATGGCCCTTGACTAGCTTTTAGGCTAGGGCATTTGCATTTTAATCCTTAAATGTGATGAGTGGTGTTTGAAACCTGGGGTAGTGGTCCTACAAAACTACATAAAAGAAGGGTTCAACTCAAGTCAAATCACCAATGGCTATGTAATTAAAAACCCAACTGGATACAAAACCCTGATGTAGTACAGCATGTATGTTTGTAGTCCAGTGCTTAGGAGGAGACAAAATGCTTGGCTTTCAGTTTTATTGAAATGAGGTGATTTCTCCCTGACCCTGTAAGATGAGGTGTTCTTATGGGGGGTGTTATGTCATGTGTGTGAACTGGGAGGAAACCTGTGAGGGAGGGTGCAGAAGTATGAATACAAGTAGTACGTGTTTTCACAGTGTGTCCTTGTTTTCCTCTTGTGGTGACTTCCTGGGCATTTTATTCCGTGGGTTGTAATGCGTTTGATTTTCAGCAATGAGCAAACGTTCTGCTGGTTTCCTACATGTATGCACAAACAAATTCTGTTTGGTGGTTTGCCACTTCCTCTCAAGGTGGCAAACAAGCTTTTTGTTCCCAAGCAAGCTCTTTCAGTGCTTGACGAAAATTGTAGTACATGGGAAATTAGTTCAACTGAAAAGCAAAGTTCTTTCAAGGGGAAAATTTTCATGCTGAAAGTCTGTCACAAAATATGAGTTATTACAATGGGTGAATTTACAAATTGCTGTCAAACTGGTGCTGAATGATGCTAATATGGCTGTTTAGGGCAGTGCACATTTAATTATTAACTGTTATGATACAATGGCATTATTTCTTCTGGGTCTATATACTTTTATTTGGTGTGCTTCTGCTATTGGGGTTTGCAGGCAGCTATGTCAATACAAAGCCTTCTCCTCTGAATGTGGAGCTGAAGAATTTTGTCCGTGCCAGATTCACCAGGACACCAAGCTACTACTACAAACAAAAACCCATGTAAACCAGTATCAGCTTCTTGTGGGTAAAATATTACAGAGCAATGTATGAAAATTGTTAAAGTAACTTTAATGCCCTTCTAAACACATCTGTTTGTGGGATGAAATGATATTGGTGTTGAGTTGAATTCCAGAAGGAGAGCACCTAGGTGAAAGCTTAGACTGAATTTCTTTCAATGAAATACACTGAGAATTCTGTGCAATTCAATGGAGTTAACTTCAGACCATGGATATGGGGTGGAGGGCACATTGGATCTCCAAGATTTTGAACTGCAGTCTTACCTCTCACCCATGAATAGCCCTGTGAGGCTCACATTGACAGTCAGGAGTTTTGATTTTTTTCAACATGACCAAAGAACACCAATGCCAATACCAGCCTTACACTCTCTTCCCTTTCATGCCTGATTTTCTTAGGTGATGGCATTTCAGATAATGTATAAAATGAGATTATTTCAATATCACAGTCTGGGGAGCTTGACCTGTGCTGTGGTAGTTTTGACTCTTGTCAGTAAGTTCCCTGTATTTGTGCTTTAAATAAAACCTGCAATTTTTCATCACTCTTTCTGACCCTGGAACAGTGGAAATGATCTGTTCTCACTGAGAAACACTGAAGCTCTGTGGAGCTGGAGCAAATACAACTATGGATTTGTGTTATAAGTGTGTGGAAAATTTTGAGAGAAAATTATTTTTGAGGAAAGTCAAATCTGTGAGATCGCCAGAATGCTGGCATTGCTGAATCAATGAAAGGACGGTGCTTTGGAAAAGAGGGTACACGGTTTAATGGCAATGGGAAAGCAACAGTTAAAAATTAAAAATTATGCATACTAATGAGGAAAAGCTTGCTGGTGTTCCTAAGTGTCACAGTCTAGGTCAGAGCAATGACTCGGTTGAGATGATGTAGTCATTGCTAATGACAGGATTGCTTATAAGAAGTAGTATACTGTCCTTAGAACATGCAGGTTAGTGTGGTAATACTGGAGAACAGACAAAGCAAGCAACAGTACTGTAGCACATCTTAGGAGAGGTACCTCTTGTAGCACTGAGTAATTTCCTTCTGTTGGCATACATTCATACAAAATTTTCAGTTGACTAAGTCTTCTCCTTTGTAGCTGAACAAAAAGCCTATTGTAAATAAACAGTTTTATTGATTCAATGCCCAAACTGGGGCATCTATAGGCAGGAAATTTGAACCAACATTTTCAACAGAGTTTTAAAATCCCCCTTCTTCCTGTACATTTTAATTCTGAGTCCCTCTATTTTTTTTTCTTACTCAAAATGCTAATTAGTTTATACATCTTTTGAAAAACATTGAAAATTAACATAAATACAAAAAAGGTTTAAAACACCTACCTTTTTTCTTTTTGAAATTACTGAACTGAAATATTATCAACCTCTTCAAAGTTTTCATGTCTGGTTTTGGCTGAAGACAGTAGTGAAATTTATCCAAGCATCACAAAGACACTGTGTATAGCTACGGTGTCGGGAAGGGCTGACAGGACTCGTGGAGATCTGAACAGATGAAGCCAGATTAGATGCACGTACTGCTAGTGAGACAATAGCATAATGCTACATACAGAGCTGGTGTAGACATGTTTAAAATGGTCCTGAAAAACTGGTGTGCAAAGTGCCAGAAAGATTATTCATGGAGTGTACAGGTTATACATAGTGTGGAAGCTGCTTTAAAAATTATGTCTGCATTAGAAATCATGTGTAAACGATATTTTGCTTTGTCTTCTGCTGTGGACTGCCTCGAAATGCTCAGACTCCCCATGCTGCAAACGTAGGCTTTGCACAGCAATAACAGGATTTGGTGCATGTATTCCATCAGTGGTTCTGATGACTGGATTAGCTTGCTCATTAACTGCTGGACAGCTCATCAATTTTTGAACGAACTTTTTTTCCTTGCCTTCTAGGTTTATGATGAATGTGACTTGGGAAGGTAAAGATTTGTCCTTCACAGCAGATGGTTATCAGGCACACCCCAGGCTGGTGGTGATTGTGCTGAACAACGATCGCGAATGGGAAAAGGTAAGCATTACCTCTGGGTAAAAGACATGAGAAGAGATAGGACAGACTTGGTAGAACCCTATTAATGACAAGTAGACAGATAAACGTCATGGATGTCAACGATGATGCTCTGCTGTAGCAGGTTTGTCACAACAGTTCAGAAAAGATAATTTTACCTTATTCTGAGTGGGTCTAAGGAGTTTTAACAGGGAAAGCAACATATCAGTGAAAATAAGCTGTGTGGATTTCAGAAGACTTCTGTGAAACACAGCTTGCATTTCTTCTTACAATTTAGTAAAATAAAATGGATGACTGAAAAATCTCCAGAAATTTGGGCCTTAACTACCTAAATTTGGTTGGATTTGTATATCTTGAGAACTCCAGTCCTTTATTTGCTTGGTTTTGTATTCTTTGACAGATTTTAGAGTAAAAGTACACTTTTTTTTTCCTTTTTAAACTGTGAAATTTCTGTCATATTGGGGGATAATCCCTGTAATATTTGCCTAAAAAATTAAGAATCTTGACTTGTGTTCTCCTGGTAGTTAAGCGATCTCCGTAAACCTCTATATAGACTAGAAGGAAAAGTGTCTTTAATATCAGGGTTAATCATATCTGCAAGTAATAAAAGAAAAAGTTTATCATGAGCATTTTTTCTTTAAAGCTCCCACCTCAGCCCATGATTGTTTGGCTCTGAGTTTTGCAGGTTATCCATGGTCCCATGTTTTAAAAACAGGGGACCACAGAAAGTGTTTCCAATATGAGACTGTAGGAAAAAATACATCTGTATCATCCACCAGTTTTATTTTAAATTCATGAAGCACGATCCTGCATTATCTAAATTGCTGCTGAAATCTATGAACTCATTTTCTTATAGCTTTAGGATCCCATAAAATCAATTTAAAACTCCAGTTTGTAAGATTGCAAGACTCTTCATGATTTTGAATAATAATGACAAAATAAGAGTTACTGAAGGACATCTCAGTAAATAAGCTAGTCATGCAAAACCACAGAGAGTAGTCCTAATTTATGCTATGTATTTCTTTATGTTCATTTGATGCAAATTTAATTCTCTGGAAAAATTTAATCCTATCCAAATGTGTCAATCTCAATCTTTGGAGGAATCTTTTGCTCAGTAACCATTATGAAAATTTCTTACCCTATTTCAAAATTCTTCAACAGTCTGTATATCATATATAATATTCTGGAAAAATTATTATACTATTGGGGAATGTTAGTATGAGGCACCAAAGGGCAAAAATGGTTAGGGAGGCAGCAAAAAAGCTTGTGGTATAATAATTTCATATATTTTGTACCTTGAAACTTCTCTAAAGAGACCATTCAAAGGACAAGGGGAGATAGGTTTGAGGTTTTTGAAAAATGAGAGAATGGCAGCAAAGGAATGCTGGATATATGAATCAACATTATTTCCAAGTACTAACCTGAGCCTGTTTTAACCTTCAAGTGACACCCCTATCAGAGAATGGAAAATGTGGTGCCGGTTTTGCTGTATCAAACTGCGCATGTTGTATGGCAGCAGTGCATGCTCCACTTGTGATGCTGGGCTGCAGGACTCTCTAGGCTGCTGCTTACATTGTCTGTGCTTGGTTTTCCATCTGGTAAATCTGTTTCTGCTCATGGTCGTGTTTGAGGGGCTTCTAGGAAGAAATAAAAGAGTGACTGAGCAGAGGCTCCTGCCCAGACAAAAATTTATGCATCTGCTCCTATCTGTCCCTTTGCTTTAAAGCCCTTTTGGTAGCAGGCCAGGTGAGTTACTTCAGTAGAGACAGCCTGCCCCTAGCTGCAGCTTTTGTGTCTGCTTCTCAATCGTAGGATTACGGGAAGGGGGCCAGGTCTAATTATGTCAGAGGGGAGAAGTGAAAGGCGGCCAAGAACGGGCTGTCACCACCAGAATTGTTCTTCTGACCACAAGCTGATCCCTGCCTCTGTGGATGAAGACAAATAAACTGACTAATCAATTATCCTAGCAAGCTGGATGTAACTCTCAGCTATCTATCTTGGAGCACCCCACATTTATATCAGCAGAGCGTCACTGTGCACTTCAGAAATAATAGGAGAGTTCCTCTGACTTAGAGACATGAGAAGGCCCTTGCCCACTCCCTGGTTTATTGGAACATCTCTCTAGTGTTGTCTCAACATTCTTTCCAAGTTGCGTTTCTCACCCCATATCTCGCAGCCAATTTCTTTCTCCTTGTTCCTTTCTCCTTGCACTGTTTTGCTCAATTTCAAAACTGTCAATGTTACCCATCTGAGCTCTAACATTTCCTGCTCGAGTTTCCAGAGAGGCGCATGCTTTTACTTCCAATTACAGTATTGCAATGAGTATCACAGAATTATTTTATTGAAGTCTGATTAAATACCCTCAATCCTATATGGAAAACATCAAGTCCTAGAATCTAATTAAATTATTTACTCGTGTGGAAAACTGACAATGCAACAGCCTGCTAATCCTTGTAATGTAATTAATGTACGTAGAAATTGTGAGTAGCTACTTTATTATTTATGTAAGACAGAGTAATTATGGTTTATGTGAAGATTTTTTTTACCCACTATTCTCCTGAAAATACAAGATTAATATTAAAACTCGATTTTCTTTGGGTTTAGTATAATAATCTGCTTTTACCTAAATACAATTTTTCCTTGGTCTCAAAATTGATATACTTGAGGCTTGAGGTTAGAGAAAATCCATTCAACCATAGTTGAAGAGCATACATCTTACCCCTAGGACAATGAGTTCCTTTCCCTTTACAAATGACTCAGTATGAAAACTTTGAAGTGGTAACTCCAAATGTAAATGGAGTTGACTGAAGGTTTTGTCCGATATCAGATTCTGAAAAAAGCCAGTTGGATGATAATAGTATTTTGACAGATCCTAAAGCAGCTACTCAAATTTCTGACATCAACATTCATATTCTCACTGCTAATCTTGACAGGCAAAGGGGCTGCTGTTCTCAGGCAAGAGATTTTTAAGAAGACAAGCTTAATGTGCTTGTTTCAGTGAAACTTTATAAATTTTCCAGAGTTAACAGTGTTGCCCAAATATCACCAAAGCGCTGCAGGAACACTGTGCTAGTGGTAAAAAATCCTCAGCGGTCCAGCAGTACCAGCTGCAACTCTCCTGTTAAGCTTATCTCAGTTAGGTGTGACCTGGGTGGCTCTCCCGGCCCATTAACTTCACTGGGTTGCAAACTTTACCATCTGTTAGTCTTTTTTTTTTAATGTGGAAGTAAAACCAATTGATCCAATATTAAAATCATATACTAGAATAGAATTAGCAGTGGCAAAACTAGGCGGTTTAATTAGCTGTGCATATCCTATATGTTAAGTAAGGTAGGGAGTATTGTATAGCATTTGAAGATGACTGTATTCTATGTGTAAAGATGAGTTCCAGCACAAAACCAATTTTTACTGGTGCTCTGAGATAGATACAGATAAAATTACCATGGATAGTCTGTATTCTGTGTGAATTTGGAAGATTTAAGTGTCCTACATTTTTGTAGCCAATGAATTTTTACAAGAAGCAAGAGTAAGAGTACGTGTCGCAATTGCTAGTTAATTGCCACTGCAAGAACTGTTACTTACATCCAGGTTTATTCTAAAGGTAAGCAATCATCTTTAACTTTCTATTAACGCAGGATTTAATGTAGAACTTGATTTTGCTCTGATTAACTGGCACGTACCAGATTTACAAGCTCTGGGTGAGGTTGTACATATTTGTATCTTAAGTAGGAATGAGTGGGCAGAGGGTGCATGATTCCTGCCCGGAATAAATGAACCAAGGTCTTCACAGAGAGTTCCATCTGGCTATTAACATCCGCTGTCATGTAGCCGAGAAAAGACAGCTGTCATATCTAATGGCATAGCTGAAACTTCACCGGACAAGAACTGAAAAACCTAACACTTGGTCAGATTTCTGACAGCTTTTTGTCAGAGTATTGTGATAATAAAAAGTCACTGAGATGGTACAGGGTAGTTTCTTGTGAAAACTCAATTGATTTCAGAGCAGGGGTTTTGATGGCTTGAGGGATCCTGATGCCTCATGATAGACATTCCCTAAAAGTTGTGAAGAAATGCATGTATTTTAACTGGAACAGATTAAATTGTATGATCTAATCATCCATTTGCTGGTATATCTTTTGTCAGTAGCTCTGTGGCCTAACATGAAATGTTATCTTTGCCTATAGCAGAAACAGCATGCTCTTTAACATCTGTTGGGTTGTCATTTTCTTTGTTCCATCCTTGTTGCTTGGTGTGTTTAGTCTTCCTGTAAATATGCCTATCCTGATGCTTACTGTTGAGTGAAAATTGCATTTGTTTCTGTATCAGTGAGCTTTTATTTAGCCTAAAGGCCTTTCCTTTGACCTTTACTGTACACAATTGTTTGGATTGCACCACTTATTATGCAGCATTCCTTAAATCCTGTATTCCCAAGGAGAATGGTTCCCTCCTCTCTGCTGCTGCACAGGAATCACAGCTGCCACGGAAAGCAGTGGTAAAGCGTGCTTTGCTGCTGTTCTTTACAGCTCATATTAGAGATGAGGTGGAGGAGTAGGAGGACTTTCAGGGCAGCTCTCCCTATCTGGAGGTAAAGGGGTGGCGCTCTGGACATTTCTGGAGAGCTGTAAGGTCTTTGCTGAGTGTAGAGGTGACAAAAAGTCTGCCCTCACTGGGAGGTGGAGGAAGAGCTGTCGATTTGTTTAGCTCTTTTCCTTTCTAATGACACAATCAAGTCATAAAATGGCTTCTCTAGCATGAATCTGAACTCTTGTGCTAAACAGTTATTTGGGATGTTTCCCACTACCAAAACTATACCAACCACTGAGGATTTGGTGAATGCTAATTACTAATTCTGTACTGAAAAATGAGGCTACAGGAGGTGGTAGCTTTTCTTTCTCCTCCTGTTTGTTTATAATCTCTGTGGGGCCTGTGTTTTCCTTTGAGCCTTCCTGGTTGCAGTATCGGTGCCTTCCTGTCAGCAGAAGGAGCAGCCATGAGGGGAGAGC